GCGGTGGATTGTCAGAGCTACGGGAGAAAAGGGGGTTGCTCGAGGAAGATGGCGATGACTGAGAACCGCCGGTGATGATGGTTGTGACGAACGACTGTGGTTGACGTCGGATTTGGTCAGGCTAGTGGCGGATTGCGGTGGTCTATGAAGGCAGATGGTGGAGCGCCGCTGTAAACGGGGAGAGAGACTGGGTGAGATGTGTGTGTATTGTGTGTGTGTGTGTGAGAGAGAGAGAGATGGGGTGGAAGGAGGGTTAGTGGTGGGCCCGGCTGATTAGTGGGTGTGTATTTAATTACTAATTTGTCTCTATTAAATGGTAAAACACGTACATTTGAAACAATGTGTAAGTGTATTTATTGTATTACCATTAATAATTGACCATTATTTATTAAATTTTGACTTTATCTTAACCATTGATATAATGTATTCAATGATCCAGATTCATTCTAATTTCTTTCATTGTGGTCCTTTCTTATTTGAGCACACTTCTATATATATATATATATATATATGTCATTATTAATTCATATATACTAATAATATTTGTCATGTGCTTCTCTTTCTTTTAACTTGGCGACGAATTTTGGCGGACTTCAATGAGATAGCTAGCTAGCTAGCCTTTCTTTCTTTTCTTCATGTGCATCAGTAAACGAAGAATATTGGCTTCTTTACATATATAATAATAATAATATACTAATGTCACGCTCGCTTAACAAATTAATCCCAGTGCTATATATACAACAAACATAGGTCCGGGGTTTTAGAGGTATATATATATATGTATGTGTATTAACAATTTAACATAGCAATTAAACTAAAAAAAAAAATGGCAAAATCCTTCATTAATAATTTAGGTATTATTGGCACAACAATATTGATATCCTCAAGCCTGCTAATGTTATTCCCACCTACAGCCTCCAAGTCAATGGGCCTGGGCAAGCCCATGCCCAAGCCCAAGGTGACCAACCTGGAGTTCTACTTCCACGACACGTTCAGCGGGCGCAACCCGACGGCCGTGCCCATAGCGCGCCCGAAGAAACAATTCAGCACCCTCTTTGGCACGCTCGTGATGATCGACGACCCGCTCACCGAGGGCCCGGACATTGGGTCCAAAGCCGTGGGCCGGGCCCAGGGGATGTATGGCGGGTCGGACCTTGAAACCATGTCCCTTACCATGGCCCTTAACTTTGTGTTCAACGAAGACGGCAGCACGTTGAGCATGTTGGGCCGCAACCCCGTCATGGAAAAGGTGAGAGAGATGCCGATTATTGGAGGTACCGGAAAGTTCCTGATGGCCAATGGCTTCGCGCTCGCCAGCACCGTCAGCGCAAATGCCCAAGGGGACGCCGTTGTTCACTACAACGTTACCGTCTTCCAGTATTGATTAAATGAATCACTTAATTAGTTCCTCAACATATATATATATATGTATGCTTTTTATACTCCTATTTTCTTCTTCTCAATGTACCCATATATACCAAGGCCATAAATCATAATAATAAGTTAGCTAGCTAATATATATATGTATGCATCTCCATCATTGTACTCATCAAACTTGTTTCCATTTTAATATAAATAAATTATAAAATATGTGATTTAGATTTATATTATTATTTGTGTTATTTGTAAAATACCAAGAAAATAAAAATAAAAAAAAAACAAATGGAAGACATAAAGTCGCCATGTGAATTATCGACACCTTCTAAATACAATGATTTTTGACTTGTTTATAACGGTAATACAAATACACAATCCCTTAGCAAACACTACTTTTGCTCCGGTGCCTTTAAGACAAGGTTTATGCATCTAAAGACACATTTCGGGTGACAAGCCACATGCAAAAAGACGACTAAAACTTAGTTGACAACCTCTTAGCACCAACAAGTGCGTGCAGGTCGCGAGCTCGTCTCGCCCACGACGAGCTTCTGCTGAACTAACCAGCAGACGCCTGCAAGCCATCGGGGAAAAGATGGCCACCTCGTGCGGGCGTGATAGACTCAATGTCTACAAGCTTGAATTATTGTCTTTTTTGTTCTAAACCAATTTTTGAGCTGCTTAAACTCAATTTTGAATTATAATAACTCAAATTCTCCACATTTTAACTTTAGAATTATTTTCTCATTCAACTTAAAATAATTTTGATTTTTTTTTCAAGTTTTGCAATTATGAGATGGAATCCAAAATTTGTATGAAACCATTTTCTCTGACATATATCTGGTTTAATTTTTATTCCTACTAATACAAGTCCAACACCCAACTGGCTGAGAACCGCTTCGTTTTTGTTATCCTCGCCGGTAGAACGTCGAAACCTGCACAAAACTCACACCGGAAAGATTCAATCCCTCCGGTGAAGAGCCTCCAACGCTCAAGTCAGTCTCGTGATCAATTCTAAGTCATAAAATGGTATATGGGAAAATCGTGTGTAAAATAATAAACCTTGCCCCTATATATAGGGGTGAGAGACTTGTTCTAGAAGCTGCCCGGGTTAGCTGAGCTGGCTATCCAAGGGCTGCCCAGCCTGCCCGATCGTACAACCCCTAGTATAGGTGTGTCAGAGACGGTTATTAGTATAGGCCAATCAGATCATGCCACGCATCCCACGCACATGTGTGAGAGATTCCTTTGAAAGCTCTTATATATGCTGATCTGGGCGAGTCGCTGGTGCTGCCCTTGGTATGTGAACTGGTCGATCATATGACCATTTGCTCGACCAGCTTGTTCTCCCAAGGTTCTGGCTTTCGATCATACTCAATCTGCTTAGACTCTGCTCAACCAGATCTATTCCTCCAGTTTATTCGACCTGCCGACTAGACCAATCCCAAGCATAATATCCCATATCACCTACTATGGTATTCATTTGTTTTTTTTTTTTACACTTTTAATACATAGTTAATATAATTGTATTATGTATTAAATAAAATTTAAATTCAATAACATAAAAAATAAATAAATTAGTATAAATTATATATAAAAAAAAAACATTTTTGCACGTGATATTAAATGTATGTTTGTCATTTTCTGATTCGCCTCTCTATATTATTATTTTTATTTTTCGGTTGTTCGTTTTTTAAATTACATGCATATTTGTTTGTGACCAAATTTTCAGTTTCCAATATTCATTATTACATAAATATTCATTATTATTACATATTGAATTTATATACATTAGTGACACGCCTGAAACCAAAATTGTCTTGAAATACTAATGTAAACCATGACTTATGACCAACTAACATCTTTTGTGATGTGACTATTAGACAAACCATTCAACATATATATAATGACATTGGTTTGAAATAAGACTTAAATTTTCAAAAAACTTTGGTCTATATAGTCAATATATATATATTATCAATCTATATAAATATATAACTAGATTTGAAATCACATATGATAAACATTGCTATTATTATCTAGCTAAAATACCAAGAATTATTTGGTCTAATACTCAAACTATATAGCTAAGGAGGTTTTTAAAAAAAAATTATCAACGAGCCTTTGCTCAGTCACTGCAACGCGCGAGCTTGTCATCTTGTGTGAATTGTGATGCAAATAATGGTCATCAATTATATTTTTATATTTTTTAGAAATCGGTGTGAAAATCCAAGAGCGTTTGGATGAGATGACTTGGGTCTCTTCCAGCTTAACCAGTGGTCTCGTGTTCGAGCCCTGTGAATGCAGCAGTGTTAAAACTCTTGAGGGAGAGCTTTGCCGCCCTTGTGGTCCTACCCGGCTCGATTCTGGATTAGTCGGATCCCCTGTACAAAAAAAAAAAAAAAAAAAAAAAAGAAATCGGTGTGAAAAAAAAAAAATATATTGAAATCGAACATATTTTAAGCAGAAAAGAAAGTAGCTTGCCTTTAGTTTTACTACCGATTAGCCTTTTGTTGAAAAAAGAAAAAAAAAAATCCGGTTTCGGGCTTCTTTGTGGACTTTGTGGTGTGTGGACGTGAGATAAGTAGCACACACTAATTTTTGTGTCATCTAACCGTTACGCGGATCAACCAGTCAAACTTTATGAAAAAAAATGCAAATTTACCAAGTGTCATATTTTTTTATACTTTTATTAATGAATGTTGTTAATATAATTTTCTAATTAAAAAAAAAAATTACGAATTTACATTCAAATGTCATAATTTTTTTACACTTTTATCAATGAATGATGTGTAAGAAATTTAACGGGTATATCCATAACTATTTGGCGGAATTGAATAAACCCTAAGCATGTAATTCTATCAATTCATAGAACATGGATCTTTGCATAAATTAAATTGCACATAAAACTTACAAGAACCTAGCTATAGTCCTTCCCTGTTCATCTATGAT